TTACGAACAAATGTAAAACAATATGTCGAAGGAACAAAAAGAATTCGAATTAGAACAGATTTTGAATTATAGAAGTTCGATTGTATTTTTGGACCATTTACTAAGTGTAAATCTAACGATCTGTAAAACGTTTTGCTCTTAATCTTTTGGAAAATTACTTTAGATACTAACAGAAAAATTAATCAAATGGAAAAAAATTGAAACCTATTTGAGTTAATCAATCGTGAAGGAAATTATTTTTAAAAATTGAAATAGATACTGTAAGCGGTTGATGGATGGCGTACCTACTATTGTCTAAATTAAAAAACGTTTATTAAAGTACACTGATAACAACTGATTATGATAGTTACCTTATGAATCCAATTATTTGTAGTTAACAAATTAATATTAGCAAAAATAGTAAAGTAGGTGTTTAATTTTATTTTTATTTAATTGCGTCTAATTATATTATTAGTAAATATAAATTGTTGTAGAAGTAATTGTTTTATTATTCATTGTTTAACAACTTTTTGTATTATTCAAAATTACGTAAATTAATGTACATACCTACGTTTAAATAACTTCATCAAACCGTGAAGTTTCTTTAATATTTTTTTTATTCAAGTGTTGCATATTAAAGTTTGAAGTAACCATGTAAATTGATTGAATCGATATAATTGTACTGATATGTAGTCTGATCTCTTATGACGTTTTATTTTCATAATAGTCTGCAAAAAAAATGAGTACATTTCTTCACTTAATACACATGATCGGGAATTTTATCAACGTGATTCATTATTATTTATATGTATTACTTTAGTGTACTTATATTTCTTATAGCAATAGTTACTGGGTAGAAACAGTACACTTTGAGAAAAGTGATAAAGCTAACACTGACAATCAATATTGTTTTGACAATGTTAACTGTTTTATTTATTTATGTAGGTATTTATTTTACTGATTAGTTAAACTTCCAAAATGCTCTGTAAAATTCGTTAGGATATTAAAATAGAATGTGACCTAAATATTTATAAGCAGGTCCAACATTTGTTCTTTATGTGTAATTATTGAAGAACTGTTATACTATGCAATGTATGTTTCTGGGATCTACTCGGATTAATCCTGTAGAAACAAATGAATAAGACGTACAATAATTTTTAGAACTGTCTGTTAATAGTTTTTTATGGTATTTATTATATTTTGTGATAAATTTTTATCGTCTGGGCTTGTGATGTTTTGATTATTTAATATTTAAATATGTCAATAACTGAATCTTGAATTACATATTCAGTTTAAATAAATTAAACAAATAAAACGTAACATATAGAGTTGTGTCGATTAGTCTGGTGGTAAATAATTATGAACAATACAATAACGTTAGTTGCAGTGGGTTTTTGTACTTTTGAAGGCCTATTTTGTTTGTATTTTTATCTGTCCACTTACCTTTTGATAATGATTTTGTAAAGACACTGTTGTTTTTCTATCATTTTTGCTTACGTACGTTTCTTAAACTATGCAGCAATTAGTGTTTAATGGGAAATATTACAGAATACAGCTAAATACTAAGAAATATTTTTTTTATATAAGGTGGCAATTTGATTACTTAATAAAATACTGAATAGTTATAGTTCGTTTGGACCATCATGATCTTAAAAAAACATATTTTGCCTTATTTATTTATGTATAAATTATTTCAAAATTTTAATGAAAAGTGATTGGAAATGTAGTCAAATATAATTAAGTAACGTGACTAATCTCATTTTGCAAAAACATAAGTATACATAGCCGTTTGTGGTTTAGCTAATTGCTAATTCACAAAAGTAGCTTTTTCTGAGTTTTTATATACTGTTTGGTATTTCTAGAGAAGCAACACAATCACTTCCTTTTTAACTATCAATTTTAGATCAAGGCTACATTAGTATCAAATGGAAACGTTTACGTGTATTTTGGACATGCGAGTTTTTCTACTAATCAAACAAACTGAAATTATAATACCTAACTGTGCAGATAAATTGTTAATTAAATTAAATTAAGGAAGTCAAAAATTATTTGTTCAAAAATTTTATAATTAGGCTCTGAATGTACTATATACCAAGTAGAAATAAATTTTTTCTTTTGCGATTGTAATAAACTTTTAAATCAAATATATATAATATAAATGAAATCGGTAATTTTGAGTATATTAGCTAATTTGTTTATTTTATTGTTTATTATTTAGGTAAAAAAATAATTCGCATTGGTCATTAATAAAACATTAATTTTTATTTTATTCCTTTTACAGGTGGACAACCTTCCATGTATTCAGGAATATTACTTCTCAGTGGCTTAATAGTATTTGTGGTGGCAGAAAAATTATTTTCTGTAATAACGAAATTGAGCGAACGAATAGAGAATCAGCCTTTAAAGTTAACACCTGAAGTCCTAAACAACAACATAAAAGGTTACGATAGCTTTTTGAGTAAGGCTGAAGTAACTGATAAACGAAATGTAAGCATTTTTATCTTCTATTGTAATTTCGAATTATCGCCGATTTCATTTACAATTTTTATAATTTGTTAAATTGTCTATTAATAAAACCATGTGAATAAAAGCTTACGATAAATATTTTATCTTTCTCTAATCATGTGACTAGACTAATGATAAAAAGATTAAAGTCCTAAGGGTCAAAATACTGTAACAATTTATTTTCAGATTACTGGTTACCTAAACTTATTGGCAAATGCGATAGACAATTTTACACATGGGTTATCAGTGGGCGGTGCTTTCTTGGTTTCCTTAAGGTTGGGTTGTCTTACAACATTTGCCATATTGGTGCACGAAATCCCCCATGAAGTGGGAGATTTTGCAATTTTGCTCAAATCGGGCTTTACAAGATGGGATGCTGCGAAAGGTCAGCTAATTACAGCGGGCGGTGGCCTCGTAGGTTCACTCTTTGCCATATTTTTCAGTGGTGCCTCAAATTCTCTTGGTAAGAATATGTAATACGTAAATATTAAATTAATATTAGTCTAATTGAAGAAGTGTTGTAGATTTTACTTACTACCTCAAGTTTAAAAAGTATAAAGAAATCCTAAAATTTGTTGATAAAATGTAGATAGGTATCTAATATTATTATTTACATTTAAAAACTAGAATAATGGTTTTTAAATGTACACATTTGTAAAAATCAACATAAATTATTATGATGGATATTGATAAAGTTTTATTAAAAAAAAAAACAACCACACACTTTAATTATTGTGTAAACCTACTACAATCAAACAACAAATTTTCCATTG